CCATAGTTTGCTGTGTTCCACACAGTCAAAGGCTTTTGCGAAGTCAATAAAGCAGAAGTAGATGCTTCTCTGGAATGCTCTGGCTTTCTCCATAATTCAGCGCATGTTAGCAATTTGGTCTCTAGGTCCTCTGCCCCTAGAAAGCGAGAAAGGCTTTTGCCTGCTGTGCTGTATGCTGCTGGATAGGGTTCACTTTTTTATAGCCTGTAATGGGGTAGATATAGGTGGCACAAACTGCAATATGAGGGGCTGTACCCTTTTCCCTTCAACTAGGCACTGTTAAAAGTACGTGGGTTATTCTGACTTACATTTCCCACTGTTAGGCTTCACTGGATAACCTAGGTTTCTATGGTGCTATGATATACAGATAAAGTCCTCTCTCAGTCAATTTCCTGTATAAGATGAGTAGCTCTAAAACAGTTGTTGGCAGGTTCTGAAGGTCCAGGGGCCAGTCTTTTAGGGGTACTCATATGTTTGAGGGGCCACACATATTTCTGCAAATGAAATAGGAGGGAATTAGAATATTACTTTTTATTAAAAATCAAACACACAGACCTGATATTATAAAATTAAGAAAAAAGTCAAAGGTGTTTGATGTTTGTTTGTTTGTTGTTGTTGTTGTTTTGTTTTTTACTGGCAGGCTACTTGTCGCCCATAACCAACATTGTATCCCAAGCCGAAAATGTCATTTAGGGTGCTATGACTAGGACTGTATTCAGTACTCATAAGTTTGGTTGCAGCATGGATATGTATGAAGACAGCATGATATTATCATTCTTACCCTCTGTTCTTTTCCTAATGACTTCTTATATGGATTCTGGTGTTTTTAAAACCTCCAGCAGCAACTTTGAAAAACCAAAATTCCATATGGGCAATCATTATGCTATCCTTATTGAGCTTATCCACCACAATCTTTAACATCCCTTTCTTACTCAGCTATCACTGTCACTGCAGTGTATATCAATTTATATACACAAGTGTATATGTAAATTTGTGGAATTTTGTGCCTTGTAGTTCCATAAATTGAACACCATTTGTATTTCGATGTCCACTCCCCCAGTTGGGAGTGATTCTTTTGGTGCTCATTAGCTTTTGTTTATGAAAATTTGATGTTACTGGCAAACTTGATTGCCTCAGTTTTCACCACAACTCTAGAATATTTATGAATATATTAAAATGCTGGGCCCGATATAGCTTCTACTGATGGCAGTGTTTATATTTCCCAGTGTAAGGACTGACTAATCATTTCTACTCTGTTCTTTGTATGCATTAACTAATGGCCAAAGTTGCCCATGGAAGGTACAAAAGCTATAAACAGTATGTGCTTAGGATGTGAAAGGGACCCCTGATTCAAGCTGGAACCTGATTTGGTGATTTTGATTCAGCCCTCTTTGGAGACTAACTGATTTGGATAGGGTCCAGTCCAATTCATATCGAGGTCAAACAGGAAAATCTGGGTATCTGAATCTTTGTATGCTCCATTGGCTTGCACTGTAAAGCAAAGACAGCCATATATTTCTATTTTCTGAGACATATGAATAAATGTTTGGGGCATGGTAGCACCTTCCGAGGGGATAAACCCTGCCGGATTTCAAACAGATGGGTCCAGGAATTTTTAGGCTTATAAGTTATTAAGGCTTTCATATATGTTAAAGAACCTGTAGGGCTACATTTCTGGGGCAGGACACTGGCTAAGGGGAATGGAATTACTATAAACTACTGGGACCTGACCATACAGTGAGTGCCAGCAACCTTTTAAATTTTCTCTTATACTTTCTACCAGTAATATCTACTACAAAACAAGTTGGTATGTCACAGAATCATAGCATCATAGAAAAGTGAAGTTGGAAGGGGCTTGCAAGGCCATCAAGTCCAACCCCCTGATCAATGCAGGAATACAATCAAAGCAGATCTGCCAGGTGATTATCCGAGTTTTTCTTGAATGCCTCCAGTGTTGGAGCACTCACCAACTTCCAATGTAACTGGTTCCACTGTCGTGCTGCTCCAATATTTAGGAAATTTTTCCTGATATTCAACTGAAATCTGGCTTCCTTTAACTTGAGCCCATTGTTGCGTGTCCTGCACTCTGGGATGACTGAGAACAGATTTAGCCTCTCCTCTATATGAGAGCCTTTCAAATATTTGAAAAGTGCTATCATAAGTGCTCAGTCTTCTTTTCTCAAGACTAAACATGCCCAGTTCTTTCAGTCTTTCCTCACAGAGTTTGGTTTCCTATGGTCATCCTTGTCACCCTCCTCTGAACTTGTTTCAATTTGTTAACATCCTTCATGAAGTGTGGTGTCCAGAATTGGACACAATATTCAAGGTGAGGCCTAACCAGTGCTGTATAGAAGGGGGCTAGCTCCTATCTCTTACCTATGCCCTACCTCCACAAGTCCCCAGCAGTGGAATGGAACAAGGGGGAGGCAAAGGGCAGCATAATGGCATTCTGAAGTCCATGGAGGCAAGGTAAACACAAAGTATGCCACCCTCAGTCTGTAAGTGATGCCATAAACAGGCTGCATGTATATTACAGGAATTGCCAAATTCACTGGTCCAAAATTTCTTCACATGGTACAGAGTTCTTCACTAAAGCTGTCCTAATTTTGGTTGTTGTGGGTTTTTCGGGCTCTTTGGCTGTGTTCTGAAGTAGCAGAATGCTACTCCTGTCCTTTGAAGATGCTGGCCACAGAGACTGGCAAAACATTAGGAAGAACAACCTTCAGAACATGGCCAAAGAGCCCAAAAAACCCACAACAACCATTAGATCCCAGCCGTGAAAGCCTGCGCGAATACATTGTCCTAATTTTCTTCCTCTCTTTATCTGTTTCTTGTTGAAGGTCTGGAGAGAGGTTTAACAAAAGCTCTAAAGAAGCTGGATGACTATCTGAGAAACCCTTTGCCAGAAGAGATTGATGCAGGTAGCACAGAGGAGGAGAAAGTGTCAAAGCGCAGGTTTCTGGATGGGGATGACCTGACTCTTGCTGACTGCAACCTTCTGCCCAAGCTCCATGTTGTCAAGGTGAAAAGATCTCAAAATCATGAAACCCAACCTGATCTGAAGGTGAAAGCCAAATTAATATTTGGCCCAAGGATTGCAATCCAAACTAGGTTTATGGAAAGCTTATGCCAAGTGAAGAAAATTGGTTTAATTCATTCATGTTTTCTGACTGAAGAGGTTTTCACAGCATGAAGACAGGGATGGTCAGTGTTTGTTAAGTTTTGGTTAGATGGCTATGGGAGTTGTCCAGAGCAACTCAAACCCCTTTATCTGGGTAGATTATTTTACCCCACTTGCCTTTTTCAAAATGAATTGCTGCTTCTGTTGATTTAATGAAACAACTTGCAGATTTGCAAAAAATGACACTGAAATTCTCATCCATCTCTAGCTTAAGACAAGAATTAAAACTATTTCATGTCCGCTGAAGCTTCAGAAAGCCAGGGAGTCAGAAGGTAAAGCTACTGTCTTAACAGATGTGCCCTGTGATGACTAACAATGGCGTAGTATCACATACTGCTTGCTTATAACTCCATGGACCTACACCTTTTCTTCCTGTTGACCTTGATTATATAAAGTAAGATCCCAATTGGATAAAAGATACTTTTCTCTCAAGTATACCAGGATGAATGTTATACAAACTGATACAAATAAAACATAATAATGCTGGTGAATGTCCTATTTCATAAATGATGTTCACTGAAACAGGAGACTAGACTTACCTGGGCACCCCCAGTGGCTGCCAAGAGGGGCTCATGTGGGTTCGCGGCACCAGGACAGGCATGGTAGTGGCAATGCAGTCTGATGGACCGAATAAGTGGTGGCTGCCAGAGACTCCTGTACAGGCAGGGAATGGGGTTCCCCTGCTGGCCTGGCATTGTATTCCTTTGTGTGTATTGAATTCCTTTGTAGCTTATAGATCTGGTGTGTATGTGTGCGTGGAGCCCGCTTAAACAGAACAGAACAAGCTTTATTGCTTAAAATCATAGATTGCCACAATGTATCAACACAAAAGTGCTCTGATCACTTAGCAATAGCCCAGCAACTGCTGATTATCTTTCTCTAAAATGTTGATGTTAAAATAGTAACTCCTGCACTGGGTAATAGGTTTCAGACTGTAACAGCAATGTTAATTTATCCAGGCCAAATAGGTTTTATTCACCATAAGGCAGGAAGAAGATAATATAAGGCTAGTTATAAATCAGATTACTTTTAATATTAAAAGAGTTGGCCAACTGCCTTTATTTCACTTGGTACCAAAGTGCATTTGACAAAATTAATTGGTAGCTCATTTTTATAACTTTGAAGGAATTTGTTTTCCCAACTAGAATTTTTGAAATTGATTTGGAGATTCTATATTTTTTCTAGGTCAATAGCAATTATGATTTGGTAGTTTTCAGAGAGGTAGCCATGTTAGTCTGTTTTAGCAACAACAACAATAGCAAAATGGGGGGTGGTGGAAAGATTAGACGTATTGTGGCACTTTTAAAACTAACAAGTTTGTTGCACTGTGAGTTTTTAGGGACTACACTACACTTTTTCAGACATGTGTTTGAGGGCCCCTTGTTAATGCTATCAATTGGGCAATGCTGTTAGTGCTTTGAAGTTGCTAGATACCCAGTATATTAGTTCTTTGGGATATTTATTTATTTCAGAGACTTGTATATGGCCCCGCTTAATGACAAGCACTACTTTGGGCAGCTGAAATAACGAGGAGCATAACCCAACAGAACAAAGGCAACATGAATGGATTCAAATTAAAATGACTATCATTTTAATATCCATCAATCAAAACCTGTCTAAACCTAAATGATGCATAGATCACAGCTCAGGGAGGATATCGTTAAAAGTTTATTTGTAAAGCACAGTCTTTATGGCTTAAATGATTACATGGAATTCTCTGCTTTGTTGGATGAAATATCTCTGTTCAAATATGTTGATGGCCCTGAAACTAGGTCTTTGGGGTGAAGTTAATATAAGGTGAATGTTTTATCATGCATATTGTGTATTCCGTGTACTATCTCATTATATAGTCATCAAACTTATTTCCAAAACAAAGCATGCTGTATTTATTTTTGATATTAATTCATTGATAGGGGTATGTTTGCTGCCATGTTTTTTTCTTTTAAGAATGTCTTATTATTTTCTAAAGGTGAATTCAAGTTTTCAAGATATGAGTTTGCATCATAAGGCATACCATTTGCCTCTTACAAACAACCGTCCATGCTCTTTGATTTAAAGATTGTTCCATGCATATTTTTGGAATCAAGCTGTTTTACTCTGATTTTTCATTAGATCGCATTAAGATCCACTCCTAGAGGGAACAAGAAATTGTGTCCTTTGCAATTTCTGTGACTAAAATGTAACATTTCACATTCAAGTTGATCAAAATATGAGTCGTTTAGTCCTTTCCGACTCTTTGTGACCCCATGGACGCCAAGCCCTCCTATCTTCCACTGCCTCCCAGAGATGTGTTAAATTCATGTTGGTATCTTCAGTGACACTGTCCAACCATCTCATCTTCTGTCATCCCCTTCTCCTCTTGCCTTCACACTTTCCTAACATCAAGGTCTTTTTCAAGGAGTCTTCTCTTCTCATGAGATGGCCAAAGTATTGGAACCTCAGCTTCAGGATCTGTCCTTCCAGTGAGCACTCAGGCTTGTGAGCACTCCGGGTTGATTTCCTTTAGAATTGATAGGTTTGTTCTCCTTGCAGTCCAGGGGACTCTCAAGAGTCTTCTCCAGCACCACAATTCAAAGGCATCAATTCTTCAGAAGTCAGCGTTCTTTATGGTCCAGCTCTCACTTCCATACATCGCTACTGTACTGGAAAAACCATAGCTTTGACTCTGCGGACCTTTGTTGGCAAGGTGATGTCTCTGCTTTTTAGGATGCTGTCAAGGTTTGTCATCATTTTCCTCCCAAGAAGCAGGCGTCTTTTAATTTCGTGGCTCCTGTCACCATCTGCAGTGATCATGGAGCCCAAGAAAGTAAAATCTGTCATTGCCTCCATATCTTCCCCTTCTATTTGCCAGGAGGTGATGGGACCAGTGGCCATGATCTTAGTTTTTTTGATGTTCAGCTTCAGACTGGTTTTTGCACTCTCCTCTTTCTCCCTCATTACAAGGTTCCTTAA